ATGCGACAATCCCCGTCTGGGTTCGTACCTGCCCGAGGCTTCCAGGAACAGTGTCTCGCTCGAGTCCCGACCTTCAATGATGCCTCGCACCCGAGCATGATGGACGTGGTGGTGAACGCCGAGAAAGAGGTGAAGGGCCACCCGAGTCTGCGCACCCCCGTCACCGCATACGGGCGGCGAGTGCGATACACCGTGTTCGAATTCGAGGAACTGCTGGATAGTAGTTCGATCGATGCGAAGGGTTGGGCCGAAATCGCCCGTACCATCGAGCGGAATTACACGCGCTTCGACGGATTCGTTGTGCTGCACGGCACAGACAGCCTGGCGTATACGTGCTCGGCGCTCAGCTTCATGTTACAGAACCTCGGAAAGCCGGTCGTCCTCACGGGAGCCCAGGCCCCCATGCTCGAGCTACAGAATGACGCCACGGACAACCTTCTCGGATCACTCGTTGTGGCGGGCCACTTCATGATTCCCGAAGTCTGTCTGTATTTCAACAATCGCCTGTTCCGCGGCAACCGATCGTGCAAGGTGGCTGCCAGTGACTTCGCCGCCTTCAACTCTCCGAATTGCCCCCCGTTGGCAGTCACGACGTCGATGCGCACAAATGTTGACTGGGAGCTGGTAAACCGTCCCAAAAGCCTGGACCATTTCAGCATTCAGACTAACCTCGACACCACGCACGTCGCCTGCCTGCGGATCTTCCCAGGCATCAAGCCGGAGATGGTGGATGCTGTGCTGAAGCTCGACGGGCTCCGTGGGTTGGTCCTAGAGACCTTTGGTGCTGGAAATGCGCCCAGTGGACAAGACAATGCCATGACGAACGTCTTGGCTGATGCTATTAAGAGAGGGATTGTCATTGTAAATGTCACTCAATGTGAGTCTCGCTTGGTCTACAACCGCCGTGCCAACATCTGAATCTAACATGAATGAACCAGGTCTCACGGGAAGTGTCAGCCCCGTCTATGCTCCGGGTATGAGCCTGTCACGCGCAGGTGTGGTCGCAGGACTCGACCTGACTACGGAAGCGGCGTTGACGAAGCTGGCGTATCTCCTGGCCTTGCCCGATTCCACCCCCGAATGGGTCGCGAAGAACATGTCCGTCTCATTGCGCGGAGAATTGACTGAGGTATCGCAACCTGTGTTCCGTCACCCAGACGGTGCTCTTCCGGAGCGCGTGCAGTCTCTGACCGTGCTGGGTTATGCGGTTGCCCAAGGGGATATCGACCGGGTGAAGGAGATCGTGGCCAGAGAGCATCACTGGCTGCTCAACGATGCCGACTACTCAGGCAACACTCCGATCGTAAGTCGCCCCATCTATCATTATTTCTACTACCCACTTGGGCAAATACTGACTCTACTGGCAGCATCTGGCGGCAACCTCACCATCTGTCGAGATCCTCCGATACCTCCTGCTCCAGGGTGGCTCAGTACACATCCGGAACCGCAACGGCCGCACGCCGCTGTTCCTGGCGGCCAACGCTGGACTGTCCGAGCATGTGCTGCTGCTCCGGAAGTCAGGAGGACACTTGCATTCTGATGAGCGGACGGCGGCGCAGCTGCTCGCGCGCCGACGCCCAGCAGTGTGGGGCCTGGCCGGCATTGGACCGCGGGAGGTCAGCGATCGGGAGTTGGAGGAGATCGACGATGAGGGCACTTCTCTAGGACGGACGGCGGAAATTCTGATGGCCGGATCGGCGCCTTGAACACAAACACGATAGAAATATTACAAGTGTTCTCTGGAGCTAATGCGGGTGCAACGACTGGGCTTGACTTCTAATTGCGTGAACGCTTGATAAAGCAGTGCGGCGGGTGCGAATGACGGCTTGAGTGGGTGCTCGGGCTTCTTTCCAGTTGTGTCTCTCGTACTCTACAGTTTACGTTTTCTGGATGGTCCTAGATTGTCTTGATTACCCGGTCGCCATGCAGTTATGGCTAGTATGAGATAGGCGAGGCCGTGGCTAATACATTGCACATTACCCGATTGTGCCAACACCAGCAATAACCTATACTTTCCGCACTTCCCACTACCAGAACCATAACCATTCTCATGACAAACGGTCATAATAAATAGCCAGCCTTCCTCAAATGCCATGCTCCACACATTCAACCTCCTCATGAAGCCCCAGATTGACTTCTGCCTGCGATCGTTCTCGTGCCCATCTCAATACCTTGACTAGGACTGTACTTTACTCAGCCAACCGTCATGAGTTTCACCCCCCCGGCAAAGAGCCTAACCAAATGACTGATCTTAATCCGAGGCGACGTTCTCTGACACAATCTCCATACATTAACCCACGCGGGTCTTAATCCATACAGAAACTCAACCGAGCACATCCCCTCGACTCGACCACGACCGCGACACTACACCCTCCAAGAAGCCAGAAGACAAATCACAGTTAAGCCCGGTAGCCCAACAAGCACCGACATCATCAAATTGAGCCACCCACAAAAACAGAATCTATAGATCTATGACCCGCACCCCAACGCCACAAATATGCACATCATCATCGTCATACAACTGCCTGGATTAGGCAAGCAAAACTCCCTGCTAGGTGCCGAACTCGACCTCAAGGCTTAACCAACACACCGCGGTAGCGCATCTTGCCCTGGCGGAGGGTCTCCATGGCCTCCTCGATGCCGTCCTTGGTGAGGGGGAAGGTCATGATGGTGGGCGTGATGTTCTTGCGGGCGGCGAACTCGAGCAGGGAGCGGATGCTGTTGCGAGAGGCGACGAGGGAGCCCTGGATGCGGACGCCGCGCCAGACGAGGTCGAGCATGGGGACGCGGGCGGGCTCGAAGGCGACGGTCAGCGGGTAGATGGCGCCGTGGGTGGCCATGAGGGGGATGAGACTAGCGGATACAGTTAGTGGGATGGTTCATTGAGGCAGATCACTCGAGAGGGGAAGCCAACGTACGAAGGATAATCCACCGATCCGCTACCGCACAGCAGCAGGTGGTTGACGGGCTTGAAGCCCTCGGGCACGGCCCCACCGGACCGGAAGACGTGGTACTCGGAGGCGCCGAACTCCATCGCCTCCTGGCGCTTGCCCTCGGAGCTGGAGAGCACGACCACGTGGCAGCCCATGGCGGCGGCCAGCTTGATGGCGATGTGGCCCAGGCCGCCAATGCCCATGACGGCGACGCGGTCGGTGGCCTTGATGCCGTACTCGGACAGCACGGTCCAGACGGTGGCGCCGGCGCACATCAAGGGGGCGGCGTTGATGGAGTCATACCCCTCGGGGATCGGGTAGACGCACTTGGCGTCCCAGATGGCGCCGTAGCTGAAGGTGCCGTTGTGGAGGTCGTGGAAGCCGTATTGCTTCTGGTTGCGGCAGTACTGGTCCCATCCTGTGTTTGCCGTGGTTAGAATCTTGTTTTGAGGTGGGATAGGGCACATATGTTGGTAAGCATGAGGGAGCATACCAGTAACGCAGTTATCGCAGTTGGCGCAGACGCTGTGCGTATATCCGAATCCGACACGCGCGCCAACCTTCACATCGGTAACACCGGGCCCAACGGCCTTGACAATACCCACACCCTCGTGGCCCAGCACCTGGTCGGCCTTGAGGTAGTGCTCATCGGTGCCGCAGAGACCGGAGTGGGTGGTCTCGATGAAGACCTCGCCGTGACCGAGCTCGCTGGTCGTCTGGGCAGGCACAATCTTGCCCTCGGCGGAGCCACGGAAGACGTCGTAGGTGAAGGAGGACATTTTGCAGAATGTGTACAGAATACAAAAAATGCAGACGAGTTTGAGTATGAGACTGTAGTAACCACCTTTCCCCTCAGAAAAGTGGCAGTCGGATGTTTTATAGAAGAATGGCTATCGGGAAGCGGTGGGTCCAACGGGCAAGCTGGGCATCGAATCGGGGGACTCGGTTTGGCAGGGGTTGCAGGCTGGTGGGGCAGCCATTCATCAGCAACTGCTTTCTTTTCTTGTCTCTGATAGAGATTTTTTTTCTTTTTTTTTTTTCCCACGCAGTCAGAGGGCAAACTGTCCGTCCTCGGCGGAACAACCAGTCGGGAGAAGTCTCCGAGAATGTGTCCGTCGGTGGGATTTGGATAAACTCTCCGCCCGGTGGGATGTGTTGGCTCTGTTGGCTGTCTATGAACCTCATAACTTCTGGTTATGTCTCTTCTGGAAACATTATTCCATGAGTGATTACGAAGAGTTTTGACGTTGAGTGCATCTTTTTAATGACTTGTGGAGAGACTACCAAATAACTCCCTGCACTACGTCAGAGGTATGGAAGAACAAGCACTATCTTCGTGAATTTAAGCTAGAGAATAGTGGCAGCCACGTTTTAACTGTAAATTGTAAGTGGCAGGATTCAAGCTACGCCACATCACAGTTTTTTTTCCTTTTTTTTTTTTTTTTTTTCTCTCTTATCTCTTCTGCCGCTCACTCGGCCCGATCGCCTCATTGAGGGTTGCAAGCCGAACAAATCCCGGGTTCGGCATCCCGCCGGCTGGCCATTTCCATGGTCTCGCTCAGACGCTGCTGTCGAACCCCGTCACGGGTCAGCCCTTGGGAATGATGAACGATAACGGCCCATCGTAGGATTAGCATCACCGCGGGATGTTAAGTCTAAAACTAGCGTGCAGGATTGTGGAGCACTTCCACTGATCCTGCCGCTGGGAGTCTTCCAGAATCTTGGAAACAGAAGGATTCAAGGCGATGTATGCGTTGGCCATGTTTCATGCTCCGGGGGCAGAAGATAGTCCGGTGGAGATCGATTTTCGCAGGGCGTAGACCTCTGTAGGGTTGCATCAACATTTCAATCGGCCTTAACCCACGGACATGTCCTGGATCTCTTCCTTGTCATCCAAGCTAAATCCGCGGCAAACGGTTTACAACGCAAGTATGATGTACAAAGTCTTCGAAGCATCAATACCTATATATCGAGAAGAATATATCCTATTCAACGGATGTCATTGTCCCTTGAGAGTCAATACGGCCGTGATTAGCGAACTTATGTCATGACGGAATAAAAGCTACATGCAAGGCTCGTAAAACTATCAATCTGCTCAGTGATAACCACCAAAGCTCCTCAAAAACATGGAAAACACCCAATGCCCTTTCTCTCTTTTTTCTTTTTTTTCGACGTATTTATTCATGCAACGCTTTTCCCCGTCATCAACTCAACTTGACCCCTATAATGTGATAGGTCCAACGCACCACCCTTAAACACTTCCACACAAATATCAGTGGCCGAGGGAGAGAGGGAACAACAAGCCATAGAACTTACCATACAGTACGCACCATCCCATTTACTAAGAAGGCAGCGTCATCTGCACCGGCTGAAACACAAACTTCTGCGCCGGACTGCCATCGACCGGGGCAGGTTTGATGGTGGAGTCGGCGGCGATCCAGACCAGTCCATCCGCAGGGTTGCGGACCCTGAATGCTCCCGCGCCGGCGTCCTCGAACGTGAAGGGTGTCGGCTGCTGGGCGACAGACTGGCACGCTGTGTCATCGCAACTGACATAAGGATTGATATTGGTAAAGGCGTTCTTGATTATGGCGCCGCCGTCGGCAGCGCTGATGGCCCACACGTTGAGGTAGTCGTTGGCTTGGTAGAAGCGGAGTTCTCCGGTTGCATGCAGCGTGTCGGTGGTGCCTGCGGGCTGGATTTGGTAGTACGTTACGAGAACGGCTGATGCTGTGTTTGCCAGAGTCGCGATAAGGCTGATGGAGATCTTCATTGTGTGGGTCAGTCTTAGAGGATGGGTGGGGGCTGGTAAGGGCGTGGCGCTGGGAGGACTTCTTCGCGGAGACAGCGTGTGTGTGGGGAGGAGATCTTAGATGCAATCCGCATTAACAAAGGAGAGCATTGACGTATTTGTATTCAGACTGGGGCAGAGCATACGTCTGGTGGCAAAAAACAAAAAAAAAAAAAAAAAACTTTAAGTCCATTCATAGTAGGCTAAATGACGTGGATGTACATGAAAGGTGCAACGTTATCATGGCCACCAAACAGAAGAAGGAAGGGATTGAGCAGCTCTGCATGACTGTGTAACATCACACTGCCCCAGTCTCTCGAAGACCAACGATTCATGTGAAATAAATGCAATGTTGGCTTGTCTTAGGCAAGGGATGTGGCTTTTGCACCAATGCCAAGAGGTTATACAGAAGACACCATGACATAATGTATCCTTGGTGCGAGATCATCGCGCTTGGAAAATTTCTATAGCAACACAGCAATCAGAGGACATCTACTTCCCTTCATATGATCCTCAATTGCCGGCCATTGGTGTCTCCATCGCTCGAGAATCCGAACCGAAGAGACCCTTAGGATATCACAACATTGCTCTTGCTCTCAGACGCCAGGCAGTCTTGCCGGGAGAAGTGCTTCATGGACCGCTTTATTCTACACAGAAAGAAAACTCCAAAATGAAAGAAGAAGAAGAAGAAGAAGAAGAAGAAGAAGAAGCAGAAGCAGAGACCAAAAATTATAACTTCAAATCAATTTACAAAATTGAAAGCTCGTGCCCGACTAGCGATAAAACCAAAAACACGAATGTCAGCCACACAATCCGGCAGAACCCACTATCAGCAGTCAATTAAGGTCAAGTCTTCCTCATCCCCCCCAGTGCAAGTAGAAGATCCCTCAGAGTTGGGGACCCGGAAACTATCCTCATAGTCTGGATCCACCGCGCTATCATCATACATGCGCGCTTCCCCGAAGATATTCCACAGGATTGATGTGATCCTGGAGTCCTGGGTTGGCCGAAAGGACTCCCACCATGCGGTCACGCGTTGAACCTATAATGGTCAGCGCAGGGAGTTCTCTGGTGCAGATCTTCGACTTCGCAATCTTACCTTCCTCGTCGCGTCCAGGCGAAGAAACGTAAAGCTATAGTGGTCTTCATTGTGGACCAGACCGTAGACCACGGCCAGCATGTCGCAGGCCTGCCAACGGGATCCTTGAACCATGACTAGACGGTTGACATCCCGGCACGTTAGAACGGGGCTTTTTCTTTGTTCCTCCATGCCACAGAAAGACCTAATTGTCTCTCATCTAGGAAAATACGTACGCATGGAAGCCATAGCCCGCGTCTCTGCCTGCTCGTCGTCCTTGGCGGAATCGGCCTCGACCACTACCAAGTGGATGCGAGCGAGTCCCGGCTCGCGGTACCAAAGAGTGTAGTCCACCCGGCCCGCCAGAGTCAAGTTGTGTTGTGCAAAGGTATGCAGGAGGTCCGTCTTGTGCGCTAAATTGATCATGCCAGTCTTGGACCCCTGGACGGTGTTCACTTCGTGGGCGACTCGTAGAAGGATATGACCGAGCGGGCTGGCCTCACCATCGTCCGAAATGCCGTATTCATCCAGGAGTTCCCAGATTTCATGTTTGAGATGTGCTGTCATACCCATCAATTAACTCCATATCTCCTAACTGGACACGAACGAACCCCCCGTGGGAGAAAAATCTCGAATGCAAATCCCCGAGAGGAAACCACCTACCTGGTGCTGGGAAAACGCCATCTGAGAGTACCAGCCAATCATAACCATCATCGCAAATCGAGATCCCAAAACTGCGTTGCAGGTCACGATTCGTGAGGGCCAGAAGAGAGATACACCCCGACACTTCACGGTCTCGCTGCTCCTCCTTCCGGCGAATCTGGTTATCGAGGCTGAGCACCTGTCTGTGCTGTGCTTCAACGGACCCCAACCCTTCTTTGAGACTTTCTATTTGGGTGCCTGCTCGTTGCATTTCCGACGCTATCCTTTCGTTGATAGCGCTGCGTCGCCTGATCAAGTCTTGCAGGTTTCGAGTTGCGGACACGACTGATTGTTGCTCCATATTCTCTCGAGCCAGACTCGGGACTTGAAGAAACTAGCAGTACTTGTGTCTGGCTTTGTTTTCGGTGTCGGATGCTGGTGGCAGCGACGGTATACTCTAGGTTTCTTTTGTGGCTATGTTGGAGAAGAAAGAACTTGGTGATTGGCACACTCTTGGAAGAGATCGACCAAAGTAGATGTGCCAGCGTGAGAGAAGACGAACGCTATATATAAGGGGCAGAGGTTAGGGACATTCCATCCGGATGTTGTCGTCATCATAACGGACTTCAACGGGCTTACGGGCTTCGCCGTGATGATGTAGGACTTACCGAGACAAAGCAATGCCACACAGGCTTTCATCTGTCGTTTCATCCCACCATTTCCACAATCTGTTGTTCCTCCAACCTTGAGCTGCCACTAAAGTTCAGATCAACTTTCAGCCCTTCCTCACTCACGACACATCATATATCCACCATGCCGTGGAGAATCCTACCAAAGTCACTAACAGCATGGCTGACCCTGAAGGATGAGGAATTCCACGAACATGTCGGAGATTTCGAGGGCGCCCAGAAAGCCCGGGCGCGACTGCATTTCCAGGGTGAAGCAAAGCAGCTGGGCCACATGGAAGCGCTAATCCGCAACGACATCGACCTAAACTTCGCCATCCAGCGCGAGGCGGCTCTCCAGACCGAGCTCGAGACCCTCTCCGCCAAAAAGAAACTTCCAGCGATCTTCGAGCCCGCGGACGCCACCACCTCGGAGAAGATCCGCTCTCGCATCCAGACCACCGAGGCCGAGCTGCGGACCCTGAACGAGACGATCTGGCGCTTGACGCGCAGGACGCACGCGGTCCTGCGTCAGTTTCCAGAGGGTCCCCTGCTGCGCGCGCTGAAGGCCAACCGAGCCAGCACGCGCTGGCACATGGCCCCGCTACTCAAGGAGGACTGCGTCGGTCGCGACGGATGCTGCGCGCGCATGTGCGGCTGCTGTACCAAGCCGAGAAGCGCGGCCCGCTTGAAGAAGGGACACTGTACGTCCGCCTGCGCGTGTTGCGAGCGCGCTCGCGGGTTTGCGGTGGAACGAGAGGAGAGCTGGGAGCCGACGCGCATCGCCTTTGCCGATGGCCTGGACGGGTGCACAGATTATATGCAGCGCCTTATGCTGGCCTATTGCTTTGGGTTACGTGGGACACGGCGTTACAACATTGTGGAATGTAAGCATTGATGTTCTCCATGTCGAGAAGAGAGGGGAGAATTTATGGCTATTGCTGTTGGTCAGATGAGCGTTGGGAGACGGCTGTAGTTGCTCTCTGGCTTTGCTTTGGATACTTCTTGCTTTATTTAGGACGGTTACTATCATTGCTACCCGATAGACAGTTCTAAAGTTCTGAAAATTTTGTGGTGTGTTTAAAAAGCTGGATTGTCTTCCTGCTATATGGTTCCGCGCTGTCCTCTTTGTGACTTCAACGAGTCTGTTTGTTCGTGGAACATTACTCCGTCCATGGCAATAACCTGTTGAAGGGCAGACTTGAAATTTGCTGACAGTGTGTTTCCCTTGGGAGATTCGGATGCACTCAGGGTTACATGTACTCACGTGCTCTCTAATTGGTAGTAGACAAAGCATCACTTAGATTTGAATTTCAACCCTCTCTGCTCAATGCTGTGTACAAAGATGACCAATATTTGGTTTTGCAGGAGTTCATGGTTCACGTAGCGGGCATCGGGCTTAAAGAATCGTCAGGGAGAGATTGATGGACGAGCTATTGACGCGAAAAATATAGCCTGGGAAAAGGATATGAGGATGAACAGGTGCAAATGGTGATTGCATAAAGGGGACGAACGTGAATCACGATCAGTGTGGCGCGCTGGGCCGGGAAACAGGATGCTGGAGGGCGGATTATCTTCTATACATGTGGTGACTTTCTAACCGGTGCAACTACAGTATAGACACCTCAGACTGACTTACAGACGATGGACAATGGTCAGACTGCCGCCAGCTGAAGATAATAGGATACGATATTCACGACCTGCTCTTCGAACGAGCGGAACTTGATCCCCAGCACATTCTCCGTCGTGCGTGTGTCCAAAGGAATGGGAATCGACTGGATCTGCCCGTGATTGGGCAACAGGCCAAACTCCACCTCATCTCGAAACCTGCGCGCGGTGATCTCCAGACTGTCCTGCCATTCGGTTCCCTGCACCCCTCCTGATGAGAGTATGAAGCCCTGATTTCCCGGGACGGTGGGATCGAGGCAGCGGACGTGGGCGTCGGCGACATCGTCCACATGAACGGCGGAATTGGGGGTGCATCTGTCCTTGGCCCCGTAGGCTACCGGGCCTAGAACTTCCTGGTTGGATCCCCGCATCAGATCAGCCGGTGTAGAGGCAAGTTCATCGCGTCCGATCACAAAGCCGGGGAACAGACGCACCACGTCGAAGGACGGCCGGGTCGTCGCCAGCCACTGCTCTGCTTCGTTCAAGGCCGCCACTTTACTCGCTGCATAGGCCTCGAAGGCCGAGCTGTACTCGTGCCCCGCGGGGAGGGTTGGGACGCGACTGTTGGCATCGAACACCCTGTCAGCGCCGCCGCCAGAAATCACAAACGACCACGGCACGATCGCCGCGCCAGACGAAGTGATCACGACGCGCCGGACGGTGCCGGCCTTAAGCGCGGCTGTCAACAGCCCCAGGGTACCGCAGACCGCCGGGCCTATAAAATGCTCGACCAGTCGGGCACTATTGGCAGTGCCCTGTTCGAGGTTATTCAGCTGAGTTTGTTGCGGAATCGGCGAGGCCACGTGGATGGCATAGTGCGCGCCTTGGATCGCCTGGTCGTAGGCCCCCTCGACGGTCAGATCCGGCACCTGCACGAACGACAGCCGGTCGTCGTCGGGTTTGAGCGCCTGAATTGAGGGCGTGGCCAGGATCTGCTGGGCCTTGTCGGGGCTCCGCACCGCGGCCCGCACGCGGTAGCCGGCCTCGAGCGCGCGCACGAGCACGCGAAACCCGACGTGGCCGCTGCCTCCGGTGATGAAAACGAGTTCTCCGCTCATCGTGGTAGCGTGAAGTGCATTTGTTCTGGCGGAAATGTTAAGAACATGGTAAGGACATGTCAAAGCTTCCCTGCTGGCGTGCATGGCGGGGTCTATATGTCATGCGGATGGGACTTCCGTCGCTGAATCTTTTTTTTCAGTAGAATATTCACATGGACCATAGATTTCAGATCTCGAATACGGCCAACTCGGGACTTTGCTGGTACTAAGTCATGGTGTATCGACATTTTTGATTTGCGGCCAGGCTACCCGAACCAAGGTGCACCCGTTCGTAATTAGGGTTGATCTTGCGGAACATAAGAGTGGGCATGACCGGTGACGGAAATCAATACGAGTCTTGGGAGTGACCCTACGGATGTGAACACAACCCATCAAGTGAGGCATTTTATCTCCTTTGTCCTGATTCTTCTCCCCACAGAACGTCCGAAACCACAGACGCCATGCTCAATGCTTATTTATCGACATCGCCGGCTGAACAATTCTCCATTTCCATCAATTGATTTTCTTGGGCAAGTGCTTAGGGCACTATGCGCCGGAAATATGGGAATAGAGCTACTTGACTCTCTTCAGGGCGTGCACAAGCACATACGACCACAGGGTGTGGAAAATAGGGCTTCCCGTCCGCTCAGCCGTACTCAAGCCACACGCCGGGAGGTTAGTAGTTGGGTGGGTGACCACCAGCGAATCCCTTCTGTTGTATGTTTTTGTCTTTCTCTCCTTGTTTTTATGGAACAACAACAGTTTTCACTCATTCGGGCTGATGGTACAGCGTAGTGCTTATAGACCGTAGGTAGTGAACTGGTATGTTGAGGATTTTGAGTTGGAAATATGTGTAGACTTTTGGACTCAGATCGACACAGGAGGGAAGAAAGAAGAAGAAAGAGAAGAAAAGGTAAAGAAGGAAAAGAAGACTAAGTTCTGCTGAGGTTTCTGCAAAAAGCCTTTGAATGTATATTTACTGAATCCTA